AACAAAAGTCCATAGTTTACTGTACATTTCACTCTTGGTATTATACATTTTAGTGTTTGGACAAATGTATCATGACATTCTTTCATCATTTTAATATAATAAAGAGTATTTTCACTGCCCCCAAAATCCTCTGTGCTCTGCCCATTTATCACTCCCCTCAGTCCCACCCCTGGCAACCACCAATCTTTTTATTGTATCCATAGTTTTACCTTTTCCAGAATGTCATATAATTGGAATCATACACTATGTACCCTCTTCAGATTGGCTTCTTTTGTTAGTAATATGCTTTAAGGCTCCTCCATGTCCTTTCGTGGCTTTATAGCTCATTTCTTTTTAGAGCTGAAAACATTCCATTTTCTGGATGTACCACAGTTTATCCACTTACTAAAAGACATCATGGTTGCTTCCAACTTCTGGCAATTAGAAATAAATCTATATGAACACCCACGTGCAGGTTTTCGTGTGGATATAAATATTCATCTTATCTGGGTAAATATCAAGAAGTGCAATTGCTGGATCATCTGATAACAGTACATTTAGTTTTGTAAGAAACTGTCAAAGTGTCTTCCAAAGTGGTTGTACCATTTTGCATTTCCACTAGCAATAAGTGAGAGTTCCTGTTGCTCTACTCACCGGCATACACTGTTGCAGGGTCCCAGATTTGGCCGTTCTAATAGGTGTGTGGTGATATCTCCCTGGTGTTTCAATTTACATTTCCCTGATGACATACAATGTGGAGCATCATCCTTAATGTTTTAAATACATACATACATACAGTTCTGGTTTTAGTTCAGACAGACCTCAGTTTTGTTATTATTGTTGTCATTGTTATTTTATTTTTAAAATCAGCTAAATGTTAGACTTTAAGTACAGGAAAAATTCACACTTGTATTTTTTTAAACATGATATTCAATATTTCCCAATATATAATTTCTCTAGTCTGGCAAAGAATGTTTGAAAGCACATAGTACCTTCATAAAGTGTGCAAACAAGGAATTGACATTGAAGAAACTGGATAGATGCCTTCTTTCCTTTAAAAATATTACATTAAAAAATTACATCAAATACATTTGATAGTCAGATAATAATGTACAATTATACTGTTAGTCATTGAACACTAGTAAATAATGTTTCTTTTTTTTTAAGATTTTATTTATTTATTTGAGAGAGAGAGAGACAGACAGAGAGAGCAGGAGTGGGAGGGGAGGAGCAGAGGAAGAGGGACAAGCAGACTCTCCAGTGAGCAGGGAGCCCGACGCGAGACTCGATCCTAAGATCCTGAGATCATGACCTGAGCTGAAGGCAGATGCTTAACCGACTGAGCCACCCAGATGCCCAAATAATCTGTTTCTAAACATCTCTCTGACTCATTATATCAGTGACCAGACAATATCTAGCACCTAGTAGTAGGTATTAAATAACATTTTTTTTGAATGAATGAATGGATGGGTGAGTGAATAAATTACTATAAAACACGTACGTTTTGCAATTGGAAGTTATTCAATATTTATTACTGATACACTTAAAATTTATAAAAATAAAAACTCTTTTTAAAATGCTTGACAGAATAAACTTATTGATCTAGAACTTAAAGACAAATATTTAGAAAAAAACTGTATCGCCTGACTTTCTATGGCCTCTTTTCAATATCCTTACTTTTTTAAAAAAATAGTAACAGGGGAAGAAAAAAAAAAAACAGCCTTTTAACCAGCTCCCAAGAATAGCATTAACATAATTAGCATAGTATATGTCTTTAAACAAATACAATTCAAATGAAAGCCTGTTATAGGTTCTTTTCTAATTGTGCTTATGCTTGAGAATACTACAGACTGAAGCCTTTTACTGTAACTTATTGTTTTTCATATTTTTTAAAAATTAAAATTAATAGGGGTACCTGGGTGGCGCAGTCAGTTAAGTGTCCCACTCTGGTTTCTGCTCAGGTCGTGATCTCAGGGTCATGAGATCAAGCCTCGTGTGGGACTCCCTCCTCAGCGAGGAGTCTGCTTGAAACTCTCTCTCCCTCTCCTACCCATCCCTCTGATCTCTCTCTCCCTCAAATAAATAAATCTTTACAAAAATTAAAATTAATAAAGTTGGACCTATTATTCTTGACATTTGATAAATAAGCTTATTAAAGGGGAGTTTCTTTTCTAACAAGCAGTATCATTCCTTATTTGATAGTACCTCATTTTTGTAAGAGACTTCACAAGAAAGAATTCAAATTTTACAACTCCGTTCGTGAGGAGAAACTAGGTTGATTCCTAAAGTATATTTTGCTGATTTCATTACATACTTCCCAATAAAAGCACTTTCCATATAGCATCTCACTTGATACATTTCTAATTTTTTTATTTATATTTGTTGACATGGTATTTTATGTTTTCCCCAAGTTTGGTCATTAAGGAAATGAACTACTTTTTCATTATAATTACACATGAGAAACTGATTTAGTGTGACTTTTAGGTCTAAAGGCTGATTTGAGTTGAATCATTTCAGAGAAGCATTTCTCTAACTAATTGGGTAATTTATATTGTTCTAATAAATTATAATCATATTTTTGGTTGTCTTCAGTGATGTTTATTTTAATAATTATTGCATGTATTTTTTCCTATAGTACATGTCCCATTTCTTCATTAACAAAAAGGAGAGGATGACAGTTATCTTTTCATGATGTTAGAGAAGTAACCATCCATTCATGCCTGGTACATTGTCTGGCACAAAATCAATGATGCTGTTTATTATAATAAGTAAAAATTGTCCAATATACTTCAGATTTACAGATGCTGTCACTAAGATACAGCAGAAAGAAAAGAACTTTCTTTTCTTTTACAGAAAATAAAGTAAAGGGGATTTTGGGATATAGTATTTTCACTACATGAGCACCTGCGCTGGTGCATTAAATATTATCTTTTTGTTTGCTCTTAACCTCAACCCTTTGAGGTAACTGTATGAGCCAAGATAGGATGGATGTAGCATGCAGTCCACCCAATATCCCAGTGGTTTATTTTATTTTATTTTTTTAAAGATTTTATTTATTTATTTGACAGAGAGAGAGCACAGAGGGTGAGTGAGAGGTAGAAGCAGACTCCCCGCTGAGCCTGGAGCCCGATGTGGGACTCGATCCCAGGACCCTGGGATCATGACCTGAGCTGAAGGCAGACGCTTAACGACTGAGCCACCCAGGCGCCCATCCCAGTGGTTTATTATGATGGATGTTTCTTTCTCATTCACCTCACAGTTCACCGCGGGTCCCCCAGGAAACACTACTCCACTCAGACATCCTAAGAACCAAGCCGTTTTTGTAGAGTGGTTCTATCCTCTTCTAAGGCTTCAGAGTCCTCAAATTGGGTTTCTGTTTCCAGGGAGAGGATAGGGAAGAGAAGGCCAAATTGAAGAAAAGATCAATCTTAGGGTCAAGGTTAAAACAGTAATTGTATGATGTTATAACCTTGCTCTTTCTTAAATTATACTATTTATTTATCTCTGTGTCCCTACCATTTCACATTAAGCATTTGTTTATTGAATTATTTATTCAACAAATTATCCCCTATTGATTCACACAATATGTTAGCTGAATGAATTAAATATTGAATTTACTAACATAAGTAGTCACTGCTTACCTATAGATATTATCCAGAAAAATAAGAATCTAAAACAGAATCTCTATTGACAACTTCCTCCATATTAGTTTTACTCTACGGTTCTACAAATTTAGTGTCATAATATAATTTAATTGTGCTAGGATTTATCTGTTATTTGAAATTAGGATTACTTTATTTCCAACGAAAGTGAAAATACAAAAAAATATTGGGTTATTCTCTATTTTGTGTTTTTCTAACTAAACAAAAAAGAGAAAGCTAGTCTTCATTTAGACTTAAACCTTAAAAACAAATTATTTCTAATCAAATGTCTCTTCTGCCACCTAGGAAAGATTTAAATGGCAAGATTTCTGATTCTTAGTGGTAATTATGAAATCCAAAAGACTTCTTCCTTAAAAAGAGTGGAACTGATAGAGTAGGGTATTAGATACAAAGCACAGAAGAGAAACTGAACTGGAGGTGAAAAATTGAGATTATAAATTTATGAATTACTTATAAAACCAAGAAATCAGGCCCTATTAGCCTATAAGTAGGTTTAGAATAAGAATAACCAAAGAGGAGCCTGGGTGACTCAGTCAGTTAAGCGTCTGCCTTCGGCTCAGGTCATGATCCCAGGGTCCTGGGATCGAGCCCCACATCGGGCTCTCTGCTCAGCAGGGAGTCTGCTTCTACCTCTCATTCACCCTCTGTGCTCTCTCTCTCAAATAAATAAATAAATAAAATCTTCTAAAAAAAAATAAAGAATAACCAGAACCCTAGAGAACATCAATGTTTATTGTGCCAATAAATGTCTTCTGAATTAACCGTATTTTAAATGAATGCCAACATTTTAAGAATATTTGGAGCCCGTGGGTCTCCTATCTATTGGGCTTAATGCCCTAAAATTTCTATTAAAAAAAAAAAAAACTTACCTGGACTCTTATTCTGCTGTATTTTTCAATTACCAAAGCAAAGTTGCGAGATGTCCAAAATTTCTTTCTTGTTGACTCATTGAGAATGAGCTTGTTTTTCACTGCAGGTAGTTTGATTTTTCATTACTAATAGCCTGCTTTTAAAACCATTGGTATTTTGTTGGTTTTGAATTGTTCTAAATGATCTGTGAAACAAAAGCAAAACTTGGACAACTGCATACCCTCATAGGACAAAACTGGATATAAGAAAGAATGGCTTTCCACTAGATACTTTGGGCCAGTTCTGCTTTTGAGAATGCATTCCCATACAGAATGTGTGCCACTGAATCCAGTTAACTAAGGAGAGAATTATACAAAGCAGTAGGCAAGAAAGTTTAATTATTAAAGTTAACCTGAGAATTATAAAATCACTGAGGGAAAGCCGAGAACAATAAACAAAATAGCAAGTCCTGTACATTCATTTCTTTAGTTTTTAGTTACAGTTGGTCATGTTGGCTCCGGCAGAACATAAACTAAAATTGGAACAGTACAGAGAAGGTTCACGTGGCCCCGGCGTGATGATGACACGTAAATTCATGAAACATTCCATATTTAGTTAGTCATATACTTTTCAAATTATGTATATGATATATGTAGACATTACACATTTAATTATTTCTTTTACTTATATATTTTTTTGCAAAATGCATAGCACATTCAGAAAGGACTTGGCAGAGTATTTGTCACAGAGGAAGAACAGATCAATCTTTGTTGCTTTTCGTTAAGCTCTTGGCATGCATTGTCTCGTTCCGTACTCACCACCCTATGAGTACATGCTACTAGGTGCTGCTATTTTAAGGGAGGAAATTAAAGATTTAAAAACTAAATAATTTTTTTATTGAAGTACAATTGAAATAAAATTCTCTATTAGTTACAGGTGTACATCATACTTATTTGGCATTTTTACACATTACAAAATTATTCCCACGATAAGTCTAGTTACCATCTGTCACCATATAAATTATTATAATATTGTTGACTATATTCCCCATGCTGTACATTACAACCCCATGACTCATTTATTTTATAACCTGAAGTTTGTTCTTTGGTCACGCACTCCTACTAGGCCTGAGAATTCCTTTAATGTCTTATGATGCCAGGTGTCTCTTCATTAGCTTCTCTCAATTACTGTCATCTTTATCTGACTCTCCTCCTGTGTGGGCATGGTCCATTTTGAAGCAAAATTTATTCCTGGGTAAAAATACATATAACCTAAAGAATAGGTAGGCATGACTGTTTATGGGCCATATATGTGTCTGTTTCAGACATGATTATGTCTCAGTAGGAAATTAGAAATGTGCGAGTAATAGGTGAAATAATTAAAGTATAGGGTTTTTATTAACATCCAATAAGTAGAAGGCTCAAAATGTAAATAGAGGTTGGTTGGATTCTAATCAACTCTTCTTGAGAAATAGTATGTACCAAGTTTTAATGATCATTCAGATTAAAGTTAGACATTCCCATAATCTTATTTCAGCTAATGATATATGAAATCACTTCCTGTTATAGCAGCCATTTCCATAAATGCCAATATTTATGTTTCCAGTATTAAAAAAAATCACAACCTTCTTAGTCTCAGTGTGCTTAAATTTAGTCCCAGATTGCCAACTGAAACCCTGAAATAATACCTGGCCACCTACCTTTATTCATAGACCAATAAAATCTAGAGCCTTAAAAATGCCATCACCTTCTTTGACTGCACTGAACTGTGAAACCTGGAAGGATGTAGAAACCAGAACAGGCTGCTAAAATGAAGTCATCTTGCTAAAGGGACAATTTGTAATGGGGCATTGTGCTGACAGGTCTGCAAGCCTATAGTCTAAAGTCAGTGTGTACATTTGAGCTCAAAATAGACCTTGTGTGTGACAAAAACAGCATTATTCTCAACAGTTGAAGGAACTTGATGGATATTTCTTCTCCAAACTCTGGAAAATTAAAATTGAGGCCCTAGGGGAAGGTCTATTCATGTAGCATGCTCTGGTTTCTTAAAGAAATGATGATGTATATAGAAAGAATGGTCTACACATGCTTACTGAACATGAAGAACTATCTGTCTTTATTTTCCAAATTAAAAAAATGACTATATATCTATATATATAGTCTGACATCGTTTTTTTGTGTCCTACTCATTAAAAGGTTTATCTCAGTTTAAACTCTAAACCATATTTCATAATGCATTGCTTAGGGTGAAAAAAATTAAAATGATATTAAATAGCATTGTCCCAAAAGTCTGGGTGGAATTGTTTATCTAGAACCTGATACTTTGTTGCCAGAAGTAGCATAGTATATGGAGTAGTTTCAGAAGACATAAAAGTTTCTTCTTTTTGCAATGCATACTTTAGGCTCTTATGTGTAATCTATATGATCAACATAAGCAGATTTTCACTTTGATTTTTTTTAATTGTCAAGCAGAAATATGTATGTGCAAAAAAATCTTTCATTTTCAAATATTTGTCTATTGTAGATTTCCAGTTGCCTCCAAATTAGACATGCTCCATGTTACTTTATAGATCAGACAATTCTCTCCTAAGTAAAAGCAGAATTTATTTTCTTCAATGGAAAGGATTTGTCCTAACACTCTTTAGCAACCTTCTTGGGTGGGTGAAAATCAGAGAATGAGAACTGTAGTCCTAGCTTTGCCAAATTTGTTTATCCCTCTAGATCAGTTTCCTCATCTGACAGTTGAGGCTTGAAGTTCACAGCAATAGTGAATATTCACTGAGAACTTGCTTTGGGTCAGGCACAAGAGCTCTACAAGGTCACTCCTGATATTAACTTCACTATGTGAATGAGGAAAATTGAGACACAGAAAGAGGAAATAACTCTCATAAATAATAAGAGAGGAAACCTGAATTTGCACCAAGCCACTGGCTCCACAGCCCATGCAAAACTACAGCTCATTCTACCTTCCCCAAGTGTTTTCTAGCTGTGAACAAAATGAATGATTCTATATCTTGCCTTGTTATAGTTTGCTGTTTAAGTCTTCGTGCTTGAGTTAGGATTATGTTTTCCCACATTTTTTTATAGTAAACAGTCTATTAAAGAGTGAGCATGCAAATAGGACCATATTAAGCATGTGATGTCAAATTAAAGACAGCTTCTTTTTCTTTTCTTTAGTCCTTTTGAAAACGAAGCACTGACCTACTTCCTATACTCAACAGCTAAGCAAAGGGAAAGAACCTAATAGTCATAAAAAAGAAAATAATGTCTGGGAAAAAATGAAAAAATAAGATGGCCTATTTCCACATCCAAGTAACAGGCCTATTAGAAAATAAATCACTTTCTTTCAGCTTGCCTAGTCCAGCACTGGGAGATACAGAAGCCAAACAAACTTTCTGATCATTTTCAACATTGTATCTAATAGAGGCAAATTCTAGCTGAGTATGTATGTGGATAGATATAATCAGTTTTATAGAATCAAGTCATGTGGAATAGATGAATAGTTAGTAATTTAGATGGCTCCAAGAGTTCTGAAGTACCCCAAATCACACACTAAATTAAAAACACTTGTTCAGTTGAAATGGAAACACTGGCTGGACCTAACTGCACACTAATAAAACCAAACAATTATTCTGAACTCTACTTCTGAAAAGCAAAATTATCAGCTGTTATTTGGTTTAAAGAAAAGTTTTAAATTTGACCAAATTAGCATACCATTTTTTCCTGCCTTTTGCCATCTCCAAATGGAGAACCCCAGCCCATTTCATAAGATGTTCAATGTGTTCCCAAATACATCCTATCAGAAAAGAAGATTACAGGACAGTATCCCAAAGGAACACAGATGCAAAAATCTTCAACAAAATATTAGCAAACTGAATTCAACAATACATTAAAAGAATCCTACAGCAGGATCAAGTGGGATTTATCCCTAGGATTCAAGGATGGTTCAACATCTGCTAATGAATCGATGTCATAGATCACATTAACAAAATGAAGGATAAAAGTCATGATCATTTCAATAGACACAGAAAAAACATTTGACAAAATTCAACATCCATTCATAATAACTCTCTGCAAACTAGGAATAGTGGGAATGTACCTCAACATAATAAAGGCCATACATGACAAACGCACAGCTAACCTGATACTCAACAGTGAAAAGCTAAGAGTTCTTCTTTTAAGATCAGGAAAGATACAAGAATGCTCATTCTTATCACTTTTATATACTACTAGAAGTGCTAGCCAGAGCAGTTAGAAAAAGTAAATAAAAGGCATACAAATTACAAAGGGAGAAGAAAATTGTCACTATTTGCAGATGACATGATATTACATGTAGAAAACCCTAAAGACTCTACAAAAAAAAACCTATTAGAACTAGTTAATGAATTCAGAAAGGTCACAGGATTTAAAATCAATATACAGAAATCAGTTGTGTTTCTGAGTCAACAATGAGAAATTAAGAGAGCAATCTCATCTACAATTGCATCAAAAAGAATTAAATACTTAAGAATAAGTTTAACCAAGGAGGTAACATATCTGTATGTTAAAAACTGCAAGATAGTGATAAAAGAAATTGAAGAAAACATAAATAGAAAACAAAAGACATTTCACACTCATGGATTAGAATTAATGTTGTTAAATGTCCATACTACCCAAAGCAATCTACAGACTCATTGCAATCTCTACCAATGGCATTTTTCATAGAAATAGACTAAACAATCCTAAATTTGGTAATAGACTAAACAATCCTAAATTTGGTATGGAGCCACAAAGGACCCTGAAATATCCAAAGCAATCTTGAGAAAGAAGAACAAAGCTGGAGGCATCACACCTCCTGATTTCAAACTATACTATAAAGCTATATCAAAACAGTATGGTACTGCCATACAAACAGACACAGAGATCAAAGGAACAGAATAGAGATCCCAGAAATAAACCCATGCAAACATGGCCAATTAATTTATGACAAGGGAGTCAAGAATGTATAATGGGGAAAGAACTGTGTCTTCAACAAATGGTGTTGGGAAAACTGGACAGGCACATGTCAAAGAATGAAACTGCACAAAAATCAACTCAAAATGGATTAAAGATTTGAATATAAAATCTGAAGCCATAAAACTTCTAGAAGAAAACCTGGGGGTTAAGCTCCTCGACATTGGTCTTAGCAATGGGCTTTTGGATTTGTCACCAAAAGCAAAGACATCAAAACCAAAAATTAACAAGTAAGACCACTTCAAATTAAAATGCTTCTGCACAGCAAAGGAAACCATCAACAAAATCAAAAGGCAACCTATAGAATGGCAGAAGATATTTGCAAATCATATATCTGATAAGGGGTTAATATCCAAAATATGTATAGAACTCATATAACTCAATAGTGCAAAAAAATATTTTTAAATGGGCAGAGGAGCTGATAGACATTTTTGCAAAGAAGATATACAAATATATACATACACTTATATATATATATACATATATAAGTCAGAGAAAAACAAATACTGTATAATCTCACCTATATATGGAATCTAAAAAAACTGAACTCAAAAACAGAGAACAGTTTGGTGGTTGCTAGAGGCAGGCGATGGGGGCTGGGGGTCAAAACGTACAAACTGCCAC